GTATAACTTCAGTTATGTATCTTTAAATCTGTATTTATATTTGGCTTCAATGCTAACTTTTGTATTGTCAATATGTCCATTAGCACATACTTCCTTACAGTGACAGCTTTGTAGTAGCACCGATGGCTAGATTTTCATCTCACTGCAGTGAATTTATTCTTGACAAATTTTTATTATTCTTATGCTCTTGTGTTTGACTGTTTTGTGTTCTATTGGATGCCTCAATTTCACCCAGGATCAATAAAGTATCTATCTATCTATCTATCTATCTATCTATCTATCTGTCTATCTGTCTGTCTGTCTGTCTGTCTATCTATCTATCTAATCATGGTGTGATTCACATGAACAATCCTCCTCTGCCAATTTGTCAAGAGAAGTAGCAGGAAAAACATTTCAGTTCTGGAGTTTGTAGCAATGCGACGTGTTACATGAATAGCCAAGGAATACAGTTGTTTTGGGTACTTGTGGTATCTGCTGAGTGTCTCAGCTGCATAAACAGTGGCTATAAAGTGTAACAGTATAGGTGGAATATCCTTCTCATGAGCTGAACTACTCTGACAGTTACCAAACAGCTCCACCCTGTGGCCAATCTACACTCTGCTCAATGTAAAGTGCTGAAGGTGAAGGAGGAAGTTACTGTAGTTTTTGAGTGAGTCTCAAACCAGGACAACAACAACAAAGTTTGTTTTCTCTCTCAGTTTTCTGGATGTAAAACTATCTCTGATAATTGCAGCATGTCACAAACAAACACATACATAAAGTTATTTTCTATCTTAAAAGTCACTTCACTGTCTCAGATTGTTTTCCATAAAATACAGCATCTTATTCCAGGAGTCTTCCTGTGCTGCTGCATGGGGAGCGAGATGACCTCCCCACAGAGTGAACACTGCAGGAAAAAAATCAGACATACAGTTATTACTTTCCATTACAGTTCCAACTTAACTTTTAAGTTAACTTTTTGAATTTCTTTCTACTGACGATCTATAAAGGTACATCTTATCTCAACATTTTAATGAAGGGTCTGCAGCAATGGGACATGACTCACATTTTTCTGGTTTGACTCTGAATAAGGACATTCTTGAATTTGGGGAGTAAGGCGGTTCAATCAGGTGACCAGCACCAGGGTACGACAAACGTGTGAACAGGTGAGATTTACCTGCGGCCCTCAGGGTTTCCTCGATCTGATGATGAAAAAATCAGTGTTTTAAAAACAATGAAGACAAAGGTCACTCAATTTACTCTAAAAGAGTGAAAAGAGACAAATCTACCAGGTTTGCATTGTCTGTGCTTGAAGCGCTCAGGTCATCTTCTCCCTCTATGTACATTAATGGGCAGGTGATGTTCTCGAACTGCAAAAACACAACAGCAAAATTGATATGAAGCACAAAGTGTAGAGACTGTTAGTGTATGTATGAAAATGTGTTTTATTGTGAGCAGGTGGCAGTCTTTCACATCACCTTCACTTTGCTCTCAGGGTCAAGATTAGCAGGCGAGGAGACTTCTTTGAAAGTGACATGGCCTTGATCATCATACACCCAGTATTTACTGTTACTAAAACCATGAGTATAAAGAAAAAAACGTTTGTCTTTTAATCCAGTCAAGGTCGTCAATCGCTAAGATATTTCCATTAATACTGAATTATTAATGTGTAAACCTAAACCCAGTGCTGTACACAGAAGTAGGATGGTGAACCCTTTTAGAAAATACAATTTACCTTTCAAAGTTTTCAGTCCTGCCTTCTGCATTTGAGAGCTTGATGGTACTTCCGACTGGTCCATTGATACAAATCAAACAGGATGGCTGGAGAGGAGAAATCTAACTTTATACTGCTAAACAACTAGTATATCTGTTTTTATTGACCAACACTGACGTACTTTGACACCAGTCTGAGTGGCAGTTCGAAGAGTTAGGTAGACTCCAAATGACAGACCAATGATCCCAACTCTGTCGGCACAGATCTGAGGATGATCTTGCAGCAGGTGGAAGGCTGACTGTTCAAACAGAATGATGGGATATTTTGAGGAAATAACATGGTAGTTAAATTAAGGCAGGAGCAAACAGAAATACAAGGAAACACAAAGGAACCCAATGAATGAACCAACAAGAGAGAAGAGAGACTAAACCTGGGGCTTTGGAGGAACAGGTCAGCTGAGCCTCAAGCAAGTTCCTCTGTGAAGGATATACAGGTCTTCGAAGTCAGAATCAGAAATGTTGACAGACAATGTGCAAGCTGGGTGAGGGCTAGCTCCCTGAGTGGCTAGAAAGAAGCTAGCAGACTAAAGACTGGAAGGCTGGCTGGAGGCTAGCTCGCTGATGAGGAGGCAGTTACCAAGTCACCATCAGGGCAGGCCGGGAGCTATTTAGTGCAATGAGTTAAATAATTAAACACAATTGAATCTAATAGGAATAGTCTGATAGAAATGATAGAAAATCCTTTAGAGGAGGAAATCCTAAAGCTGTAAATATTTTTAAAGTGAAATTATGGAGTGAGAAAATAAGGTACAGGGCAAAATACAAGCCTGCATCTTATCCTACCTTGAAATATGAATCATCAACATTGATGCAGTTCTGTGGGCCAGGTAATTCTTTGTGCCCTATGTAGGCAAGAGACAAGCTGGCGTAGCCTCTGGAAGCAAACAGAGCAGAGCGGTACTCCACCAGTCCTCCACCCATTCCCCACAGGTCCAACATGGCTGGAAATGGACCTGGACCTGCAAGAGATCAGTAGAGTAGACGCTGTTCAGGAGACAGTTACCTTTTCATGTCTATCTTATAGATGGCTTTATAGAGTAGGTGTCAAATCATGGACTCACCAGGGGGCAAGAATAACGTCCCTACAAGTGCGTTTTGACGAATCTCTATTCTTCTTACACCTGGTGCCATGAACCAGCGCTCAGCAGTTACAACTGCCAGCTCAGCACCCTGTGTCTCACTGGCTGACACATGCCCATCCAGTACTGAAATGT